TTATTCCATTGATTGGGCTATTTTTGCATAGTTTGTTCTGTACGATTTATCAAAAATAAATTCCGTGTTCTAAGATATCGACAAGGTGTGTAAAAGTTTAATTGTGCGAGAATTTCTACCGAATCTATGCGCATTGAAATAATGTCGTTGATGAAGAAAAATTGCAAATAAGCGGCGCTCATTAAGTGTGTGTATATTGATGAGCATGGAGTAAATGAAATGCAGTCCAATTTAATTTACGTAAAGCATATAAGAGGAATTGTTTTTGGACAGATTCTATGTGTTCTTCGTGTATGGAAACGTATGGATTCCATACTAGGTGGCAGTATTCCAGAATTAGCCTTACATATGTGGTATATAATAGCTTAATAGTGTATGGGTCTTCGAAATTAATGGCCCTTTGCTCATTTTCAACTGACATGCAACATGACTTTTCAAACTGTAGTACTCTAACGTAACTATCTACCTACCCTCTTCTAAAGACCATTCTCTAGCTAATAAATTATCACACTTAAAGCTTCATGTTAGATAGCATTTCCAATCAACTTTTTTAACACCCTTAGCTTTTTTTTTTTAATACTTTATTATAGAGATTTTTAGCCATAGGCTAGTTCATCTCTTAACACCCTTAGCTATCAACCCCCGATTTCCAGATAATGTTTTATTTTGGGTCACCCTAATAGACGCACAAGTACCTACCACAAGAAATAAGTTGATAACTTGACAACAGAAAGATATCTAGTCACATGCTGGTGATATGATAGTTGTCCACCAATCTGCGTCATGGTGTAATTAATCATCGCCAGCACTCAGTGATGGCAATGCAATGAGATATGATGCGCCTCCATGGCCTCCATGGATGTTGTTTGCTATAAAACATCATGCGCATTCGTTTCCTGAACGACATCAAAACGATATGAACGAAATAGCGCGCATCATGCTCTCGTAGCTATAATGTTCGTTACATCGACAAAAGAGAGCGGAATGAAAACTACACTCTCAAACCTCGGAATGCTCGCAAGCTCTGAAAACCGTTTTCCGCAAATGTCAGCTGATAAGAACGTCGGCAAGAGTTTTTATTTTTCCGGAGTTGATGTTACAGTTGTAATCACAACAAGTAAGCTGAAACGGAAATTTTTACCTACATTGGATTTATTTTGGCTAGTAATGCTAAAATTAGAAAACATTTTGTAAGTAGGGACGTTCAAAAGAAATAATATTATACATAATATAAATCTCATCACTAAAATCTGTGTAAGCGCTATTTTTAAACAGACTACGGTAAAATGAGTCTTATTTTGTACATCTAATCACGAAAAGATGATCAAACAACTCAACTTTGGATGTTTCACAAATTGCATTTGAAATCTGGTACATATTTAAAGCGGATCAGGTAATATTTACTGTCAATATTCGACCTATTTAAAATCTGGATCTGTGATATGCACGGATATGTATCTAGGCAGGACTGTGTCATTTCACCACAGGTTATTGCAACGAAGAACATTTCCCTGAAGATAGCATTTCATAATCACACAAACAAAAGTAAAATCAAAAGCGCAGATTGTTATTCGAATTGATCATGATTTCAATATATTGTCGAATTAAATTAACTTTAATACGTTTCCATGTTTGATATTTTGTAATGGGTTGTTCGACTAATAAATGAAGAGTGATTTGATAATTGACCGTTTGGATTTCCCTAGACTGAGAAAGCCATAAAAAAAGAAATATCTTTAGTTTATACTGAGCTGTTCCATACAAATTCGCTAATCCATTAATACTTGTTTTTTTGTCATCTTCAAATCATAATATTTTTTTAATCAAGCCACATTTTTTAAAAGGGCCTACAGAAAACATTAAGCTTATCTTCGGAAAACTGTTAGCTAATGGCTGGGACTATTTGCAACAAATATGCTCACTCTTAAATAAATGCACCATATAAAAATATAAAAGCAACACACTTAGAAAAAATCATGAAAATTTAGGTGCTCTCTCAATCGGTGCTGTGGTTGTGGGTAGTTACAGGTAGTCAATGATTACTTAGTTCCAAACCGAAAAAAATAGTTTCCAAAATAGGTCAAATCAACAATCCAATAAAAAAAAAAGATTTATAGATGTTTTAATTAGAGCAATATCTTACCGAAAAAGTTAAATACTTAAAATACACTGCACTAGCTAAGGTTACCTTCGAACACTTGCGCCCCTAATTCACATATCTCTGAAACACATGTTTAGGTAAAAATTGAAAAATATCTAAGTTTGAAATGGCTTGCATTAGTATACATGTTCAGGGAAAAATTGATAAAAATATGAAAAAGTGCCCCTGATACAAACAAAAAGAAAAAAAATATAAAATAAATGTAAAATTTGTAAAATTCTGGTAGAAAAAATCAGATAAAATTAAAAGAAAGGTTAAATTTAAAATTATTTGCGCCCATTGTATACATGTTCCGGATGACGAAAAAGTGATAAAAACCTTGAAATTTGAAATGGCACGCGCCTATAAGGGGTCGTCCATTAATTAAGTCACAATTTTTTTTTTGAAAACAGTGACGAACCATACAAAAAAAAATTAAGGTCCATACCAAAAATGTGACAAAGGGGGGAGGGGGTTGAAAATGGGCCAAATTTGCGTGACATAACTAATGGACCATCCCTAATAGTCATGTTCTGAAAATAATTGAAAAATAATAAATTTGAAATTACTTGCGCCCCTGATACGCATGATCAGGGATAAAAATCCTTAAATTTGAACTCATCAAGTCATTTTCAAGTTCCAAAGACGAATAAAATCAAAATCATTCAGTTCTTTAAGAAGTGATTTTGAAGTGGTTCAAAGCTATCCGAAGTGATTTAAACATTTTCTTTGTGATTTAGTACTTACCAAAGTGACGCCGAACATTTCTGCAGTGATTCAATAATTTCAGAAGGGATTTCGATTATTGTTCAGTGGTTAAGTGATTAAGAGTATTGCTGAAGTGCTTCAGTACTTTTCGAAATGATTTCGATCGTTTGTGAAGTGATTAGGTACTTTCCGAAGAGATTTTGGACATTTCTGAAGTGATTCAGTGTTTTCCGATGTGATTTCGAATATGTTTGAAGTGATTCAGTTCTATTAGAAGTTTTTGTTTTATGGAATGCTTTAGTATTTCACGAAGTGAGTTAGAACTTTTCTGAAGTGAATCAGTACTTTTTCAAGTTCCAAAGACACAAATTCTATCTTTCCCAAGCGTATTCAGCACGTTGTTCAGCTTTTCCAACATTTTTTAGGTGTTGCTGAACATTTTGGGGGTTGATGCAACATTCCAATGAGTGTTGCAATACTTTTCTTTGCGAGCCCTTATGACGGGTAGTATATATGTATAGTGGTGTCACAAGCTGCAAGCTGCAATTGTGGCAGTAGGAGTTGTAGAGAACGCTCTAGACAAAACCATGAGGTGCATACGTTGAAAATGGCTCAATTTTGTCTGAACTGTTCTTACCTCTCCTTTCTGCCACCACGCAAAACATCTAGGCCATAATTGGTCGCACAACTGTTGTGTAAATCTATTTTATGTACTTAGGTTTTAGACCCCAGGTTTTTTCAATGGTTGATCTGCACTGGCCAAAGGCCATGCATGCTTTTTTGACTCTGAATTCAATTTAACTTGATTACTCACATAGGTCTCACAGCCAAACAAAACTTAGAAAAGAATACAATTGATGTTCTGTTTGGATTAACCAAATGACCATCATGATGAAACTAACGTTTAACTACTCTAAGAGCGTTCTGCAATTGATGTATAAAGTGCGTATGCACTAACAAACTATCAAAATGAGATAGTCAACTAAACCATAGGTAGGAAAACCGCTGTTCCCTCAACAGCGTATCTGCATCGAGATTCCACAAAAGTGGTGGCATAACTCCTCTTTGAGGGCACCTATGGACACTCAATTTCAAAATATCTGCTTGGTGTGGAGAAAAGATAGCGGTTCTTGATGGCAAAAAATAGAGGAAAATGAATATTAATGAATGCACGAAATTAATGTAAATAATTTCCATGCCTGGTTATAGCTGTTGTGTTTGGTTCGTTAAGCTTTAGTTTATAAATTTCATATTCTTCAGTAGTTGCATAACAAAATAAAATTTGAGTCAGCTGTTCCTCGTTGCACTTCTGAGCCTAATTGATTTTCTCATCGGCTATTCACGTTCTCTAGCTAGACTTGCTCTGGTAGCCATACGTTTCAGTATTCCTTCTATAGCATCACATGGTCCATTTCTAGGCGATTTTGTAACGAAAAGCTATTCAACTTCTATTCCATATTTATTCCTGTTCCTATTCCTCTACTAAGAGATAGTAAAATGCGAACAAGACTTCACATTACTGGCACCACTGGCTTCTTAAAACAATCAGAAATTCTCTCAATCCTTCCATCCCCGGAGAGACCGTCCTCATTTTGATCGTTTTTCCTTCAAACTTATTCTCTCCCTTTCAGCTCTTTCCGTCTACAACACAATCCAAAACATTCCCACCCAACCACTGTTTTCCTCCCGTTTCACATGTCCGTCTCCGACTGACAACCGACTGACTTCCTGAACGAACCGTGGTCGTCGTCGTCGTCGTCGTCGGTCGCATGGCAGGGCAGACAGTGCAACAAAGCACACCATCCATATCTGACGGCGGCGGTGGTGGGCGCCTGGCGTTTGCCCTGGCGGTTCAGTTCAAATTTTCCGCCAACGGTTTGGTTAGTCTGTTTCGGGACCCGGCGGTGTGAAGACGCGTACGGAATTCAACCGGGACGATGGGTCGATGGTTTTTGGTCCGATTGGGTGCAGTGTGACTTGGATCTGGACGGATGACAAAAACTGTTACACTGTGTAGCACCATGTGACACATTGTGGATTTAATGGACGTTTCATTGTGCATGAAACCATCCGTTGCAACTGGTTGATAGTGGAAGCAATTAAAGTTTGTGGTCAGTGATTATGCAATGCAATTTAGGTGGTGTGTTAGGTTGTATTTTTAAAATGGAATTTTATCCAAGAAGAATAAGAAAACGGAACCGTTTGTTTCCAAAATTGGATTTTGCTACCATCCGGAATCCGCCAATATTTGTTCATTTTCTGCAAAAATAGAATAAACCCGTCCTAACGGCCCTCGAAGGGACTGAATTGTGTACATAGTTGCCGTTGAACTTTGCTTGCTGTCGTCTACTGGTGCTGTGCTGATGCTATTGCTATTGGAAGGTACATATGAATCTGCTGCAGAAAAAAAGGCAGAATAAATGTGTCCTGAAAAAGCTGATTTGTGCTGACCAGAGGTCATATGTGAGTGCGGGCTGGGGTTGCAACAATGGGAAGGCTGTTTAAATGTTTGAATGCTGGCCATGTGCCCACACAATATACCGATACCGCACGTACGAAGTGAAAGGTATCTGCTGCAATGCAAGAATCATTTCTACATACGTCGAACCTACAGTTTGGACGAAAATCGGAAGGCATATAAGTAAACAAATATTTGAGGTCGAATAAATAGTCAAATGGGAAACTCGGAGCACGAGTGAGTGAGTGAGTGAGTGAGTGGTGAAAGCCGTGAATCGGAAAACGAAAGCGGGGAAATCAATCTTAGAATTATTTACGATTATGACAGACCGAAAAAGGTGAGGATCCAGCGTAGCAAAATTTGCGTAGTCCTAAAGACCATCTTTATTCACCGGAGCTGAAAATAATAATTAGCGTGTTAAGAGCTAGAGCGTCTGTGAATTGCTGGTTTTATTTATGGGCGCCGCTAGCTGTTTGGCAGCCACCGTATTTGTAGGAAGCGCTAGGATATCGATGAAAGGACGATTAAACGAGATTCTTTCAGCGTATTCACTTACACAGGTAAGGCGTAGAATTGTGGAATGCTTTTAGGTGAAGATGAGGATCATTCCGGTAATTTGATGCGCTATGTTTGAGCATTTAGCATATTGTCAAACCCGTGGCAAGCTAATCACATTTTTTTTAATCGTAGAAGAATTAGTGACAAAATGGGATCACGAACAACAAATGATACTGAAAACAGGAGTTCGTTCGCTAACTGAAAGGACTAAACGTTCGCTAACTGAAAGAGAATTTTGGATTTAATAAAAATGGCATCTTTCTTTAGCCTTTCTTTGACAACCCTTTTACTTTTCGGAAAGCCTATGGCTGAAAGTCCCATAAATAAAGATAACCAAATCCAGCTTTTACTTTTCGGGAACCAGTCAGTTTATAAAACGGACACCAAAAACTGTCTGCAACTTTTTCATTTTATATTTTATTGTTAATTCGGGGTATGTATAGATTATGATCAGGAACCTCCCTTAGCTCATTCGGTAAAGGCGCCGCTATAAAGCAAGACCATGCTGGAGGTGGCTGAGTTCGATTCCCGGTCCGGTCAAGAAATTTTTCGGGTCGGAAAACTTCTCGACTTCCCTGGGCAATGGGCATAGAGTATGATTGTACTTGCCACACAATTATACTAATGAAAGAATGGTACAGGCAACGAAAGCTCTCAATTAATAATTGTGGAAGTACATCTAGAGCACTAAGTTGAGTGTACGCAATAAGCTAATGTGCGATAAGCAATAAGCTTGAAATGCAAGAAGGAAGAAGAAGATAGATTATGATCCAAACATAATTATGCATTGCTTAAATTAATAACAGTCAACGCATAACTTCAGAATGCACAATGGAAGGATATCTTCATAAAAAAAAACATTCACGAAATACCAAAAAAAATAATATTCCGTATTTCCCTCTGTATGTAGTTTTTTCGCAGAAGAAATGTGATTGTGCTCTCTCCTTAAAACTTCTGTAACTTTTCAAGATAGAGTCAGAAGTAGATAACTCCGGCGGTGTTTTGCAGTGTATTTGTTGTACTTTTAAACAGAAGTTATCTGATCTGCCACCATTAACCACTCTATAATTTATTTAAATGCAAAGAAGCGCCAATTTGTATGAAATCTGTACAATATCTTCAAAGATTCTACGAATAGCGGATGATTAGCTCTACCAAAATGTGCATTTTAGCAAGATACATAACTTATTACAATATGACAAACACGTAAGAATTACATGGAAAAAGCTATAGTTAAAACACATATTTTTAGAAATCGTCCGGAAAAAAAACGCTCTTTAGCTTTATTGTGAGAATAGATAGAGGATAAGCGTCTTCAAAAGATTTTTTGAATAGCCATTTACTGCAATTGTGAACTCTCGCTCTCCACTTTTCAAAATACTTAATATTGTGTCTCACTTTTAGAGGGATTACTCAACTAACGGGTACCGTCAAAAGATAGGGCTTTGCAAGCCTAGAAACTTCTTGGAAGACGAAGACGAAGATAAAATAAAGTCTGTTCCATTTAGAATTTAGGTCTGTTCCATTTAGAAAATAGGTCTTTTATAAGAGAAGAAAGTACAAAAACGCTAAAGGTATCATTTTGTAGAATTTTTATTAAGCTTAAGGGAAACATACAACAAAAATTATTGGTCAGCTTTTCGGATGAATTTTCGAACTTTTCGCGGAACACCTCTCATTATGTCTTGCATAGTAGTACTGTCGACCTCATCTACCATCCTTTTTCACCACTCCTCCAAATCAGATGGTTTTTTGATTGTTTTGCCACATTTCTTCGATTTGCGCTTGATAATTGCCCAAAATTTTTCAATGGGACAAAAATCTGGACAATTTGGTGGATTGATATAATTGACTTTATTCTGCTCATACCATTATATGACATCGCGGCTGTAATGGCAGCTGGCTAAGTCAGGCCAGAACTTTACGGGACCTTTGTGTGATTGAATGAACGGCAAACTTATGTTCTGGAGACAGTCCGCATCGTGCTCTCTTGCCGTGCGGATCTATTTGCTTTTTGCTGAAGGAAGTGTTACTACTACCTAAAGCTACAACAAATTTAAACAGCACTTTTCTGTGCTCAACCTGTAAAATTTCTACCTTGTTCAACTTTATTCCTCTTCGATCCTTGCTTGGACCCTACCCGAGGTAATCCTTCTTAAATATCGATTTGGAAAATTCCTCTTCGATCATTCAGATTCTTATAGTAATCTGCTTGGAAGTCGATTTGGATAAAAATTTACTGCCGCCATGGCGCCTAAACGCAAAAGAAAGGGGCAAACTCTTGACCCCCCTTCTGAAGAAATTAATTTGAGTAATCAATTTGATTTGCTCACGGATGATGAGAATGATCCATCATCCAAGAAAAATTCTAGTGAACTTTCTCGGCTTAATGCCAAGAAGGAAAAGATTCCCCCTATTGTGATAACCACTTCCGATTTCCATGCTCTTCGCATGGAACTTTTGAACTTCGTGAAAGTTAAGTTTTCTCTACAAATTGGACGTCGGGGTGAATGCCGTGTATTGGCTGAAACACTGGACGGATTTAAATGTCTTCTCAAGTATCTTACTGAAAAGAAGCACACATTTTTTACTTACGACACCAAAACTGAACGTGTGTTCAAGGTTGTCATGATCAAAGATGAACTGGCAAAATTACTTGGAGTTGTGCCACTCCAAGTAATCAAAATGAAAATGAAATCCCGTCCTGGCGATTCGCGCAACGGGATTCCTAATGATTTTTATTTAGTTCACTTCAAGTCTAGTGAACTAAACAACCTTAAGGCCTTAGAAAAAGCTAGCCTTATGCTCCATGTCCGAGTGAAGTGGGAACACTTCAGGAAGACTGGAGGAAATTTACAAAACCTCACTCAGTGCCGTAAGTGCCAGGGATGGGGTCACGGAACTAAAAATTGCTACATGCCAGCTAAATGCATGAATTGTGGTGATTCCTCTCACGCAAAGGACGACTGTCCTGTGAAGGAAGATCCTAAGAAATTTAAATGTTCAAATTGTGGTGAAAACCACAAATCCAATTTTTGGGAATGTAAGACTCGCAAAACGATCCTACAATCTCGTTCTAACCGCCAGGTAGGAAACGCTCCACGTTTCCGAACAGGTACAAATTCTTCTGTTGTTAACAACGGTCAGCTAGGAACAAATTCTACATTCGTACCCGTAGGTACAAATATCACCCCTGCTTCAAATGTTTCATCTGTACCTACTCCCCTCTCTGCTAACAATGTTCAGAGAGTTAATGGAGCTACCTATGCTGCTATTGCAGCGGGTAGAAATCAAAATACTAACAAAAGTAATTCTAACGGAAATTTTGACAATTTTGACTTATGAAGCATTACTGCCCCTAAAATGGAATTTTTACAGAAATCATTCATTGACATGATTTCTGATATGCTTAAATCTAACTCCATGTTTGATGCTATTCAAACTGGAGTAAAATTTGCAAATAATATTGTCATGACTTTAAAATTCAGTAATGGATTTTAAAGCATTAAATATTGTAAATTGGAATGCTCGATCTCTCAAAGATAATGAAGACGAGCTATTTAACTTTTTGAGAGTTCATAACGTGCATATTGCCGTTATAACTGGAACGTTCTGTAAACCTGACCATAAGGTTAAGAAGGACGCAAATTACTTGATTTATAGAAATGATCGTCTTGATGGACCCTGTGGTGGCGTTGCCATCATTGTTCATAGACGAATCAAACATAAAATTCTTTCTTCATTTGAAACCAAAGTTTTTGAAACTTTGGGAGTTTCTGTTGAAACAAAATTTGGACAACTTACGTTTATAGCTGCTTATTTGCCATTCCAATGCGTAGGCCAGAAAAAGAATTTTCTCAAGGGTGACCTCCAGAAACTTACCCGTCATAGGTCTAAATTCTTCATTATTGGTGATTTTAATGCAAAACACCGCTCATGGAATAATGCTCAAAGCAATTCCAATGGTAATATTCTGTTTGATGATTGTTCTGCAGGTTATTACACTATTCAATATCCAAACAGCCCAACATGCTTTTCTTCTGCAAGAAATCCCTCCACTATTGATTTAGTCTTAACTGATTCATGTCAACTTTGTAGCCAACTGGTTACCCATACTGACTTCGGTTCTGATCACCTTCCAGTAACTTTTGAAATATCCCAAGAAATAATTTGTAATCCCAACAGCTCTTCTTTGAATTACCATAGAGCTGATTGGGAGCAGTATCGAACATTTATGGAATATAACTTCGATCCAAACATTCCTTTGCAAACCAAAGATGAAATTAATTATGCTCTTGAATCTCTGACTACTTCTATAGTTGAAGCAAGAGCTGCCTCAGTACCAAAATGTGAGGTTAAATTCGATTCAATTATAATAGATGACGATCTTCAGCTCTTGATCCGTCTTAAAAATGTCCATAGGAGACAATATCAAAGAACACGCGAT